TACCAAAAATACCAAAAGAGGGGGGAAGGTCCTTTCAAAAAGACTAGTGGTAATAATTGAATAATTGATGTATTGATGGTGGTGGGACTATTCATTTGTCTACTTCCCATGTAATTTGATCCTCCTAGACCTCACCCTGGACCTCTCTCCCCACTCACTCACTATGCACACAGGGGTTTTTAATGTTCTTCAAACCATTCAGTCCATTTCTACATCAAGGTTTTGCCCTGGTTCTTCCTTCTCTCAGGCCTTTTCTGACCAGCATAGTCTCATCATCCATGTGACAACAGCAGAAGATTAAGTAGAGGGACATACAGGGGCCAAATCCTGTAAGGCTGTAGACCCTCTTATGGAGTTTGGACATTAAGCTAGGAGTAATAGGTAGCCAATGAGGAGTTTTGAGCAGAAGAAAGATATAATCTGATTCCATTTTTTTAAGGCACCCCCGTGGCTGTCCAATGGAGAAAGGATTGGGGCAAAGGATGGCAGGCTTGGAAGGAAGAAGCCAAGACAGAGGCTGCTGTCTTAACAGTCCAGACAGGAAATGCCTGTGACTTGGACCAAGTGAAGGTAGAGGGAAATAGCAGATTTAGAAATGAAAGAAGAGGGCTTTCCAATGGATTTGCTTTGTTCATTCATGCATTCAGCATTCTATTATATCCATTGATGGACACATCAGACAAAAATCCCCTCCCTCGTGGAGTTTATATTCTAGTGGATGCATGTAGCTGTAACTGGGACTGGGACTTTGAAAAAGTAGGTGAAAGAAAAAAGCATTCCAGGGGTGAGAAGCCAAGTCTGAAAGACAGCACGCATTTAGGAAGTAGTATTGGCAAGCCCAGAAATTGTGTGGAAGGGACTGTGGAAAGGTCTTAAGGACTTTCAGATTTTCTTAAAGGCAACCAGAAGCTATTGATAATTTTTGAGCAAAGACTTCCCATGATCAGAAATTGTTTAAGAAAAATGGAAAAGAATGTTTTGTGAAAGAAAGTCGGTATAAGGGAAGAATTAGCATGACCTGTTCAAGCATGACCTGTTCACTGGTTATCAGAACCAAGAAGGAAGACACATTCATCTTCAAATTAATAGTCATTTTTATTTCATTAAGCTAACAATTTTTGCATAATTCTCTTAAAATGGGATTTTGCACTGGTTGAATATCACAGTCCAACAAAATCAAGCTTAATATCAAAACTTTTTGTGCATAAGTGTTTCTATGTTATACTATTTCTTCCTCATTACCATCAATGAGACAAGCCTATAAAGGCTTTCTGTAATTAATAAGGAAAAACATTTCCCCAGAAGCAATTGGCTTACATTGCTGGGATCATTGAAAAGATGAATGGCAAAGTAAGAAGAATATACAGTTTGATTTTACCTGCTACATACCTGGCTTGTTATGTGTTATTTCACCTAATCATTGTTACTAACCCTGGCAGGAGACCCAACCCACAGCAGAAGCATGTGCAATATTAAAATAGTGGCTCAGATGGTACCTCTTTTCTGTTCTGAGGTGTGACCTCTGCCCAAGAACACTAAGAGATCAATGCTACTGATACCTGGACCTGTGTCTAAAGTAATCCTGCAGCTCTAGCTATCTAGTTTGCAAGTAGTTCTCTTTTCCTGGTGGCTGATTCCAAAGACCTCTGGGAAGGAATCCTTGGCACATACTGAGATGCTTTTACGTGAACTCTGACATGAAAATGATAGCGACTATAAGAAGGCCAGGAAACCGTAAGGAACCATCTAAAGGAGAAGGTGAGGACACAGAGGGAGGAGCAGAGCAGACAGCCAAGCACAGGCTTCTGTGGGCACTCCCCCTGTCCTCAGTGACCACAGCCCGGGGTCTTCCTCACTGCCACCAGAAACAGCGCACTCCAGAAGGAATGGAGGAAGCTTTTGTCTTGCTTTTCCCCTGTGCTCTTGGTAACAGATCTTTTTGGAACTTGCAAATAAGTTCTTACCTGAGGTTAGCCATGGGGACACAGCCTTCCTCTCTGAATGTCTGTTTGGACTTCAGTCAAAATGTCAGCCTGCTCCTATCAGCCTGAGAATGATGCTTCTTGAGCTGCCTTGCTATTGAATTGTCCTCTCAAGGAAGTCTGGTTTTTATATTTTAGGGATAAAATCCAGAGGAGAAAAGAAAATGTAAAAAAAAAAAAAAAAAAAAAAAAAAAAGAACCTAAACAACAAGAGAGAGAGAGAGAGAGAGAGAGAGGAAAACCCAACTTGTAAGCATTGAATAGTTCAAAAGCATTCAGAGGAAATGCAAAGACCAAGTGGAGGAATGGAAGAGTCTTTGATGGTTAAAAGAAAACAAACTACTTCACATATAACTGGGGAAACACTGTAAAGAAATGAGCCTTTTTTAAAAATATTCTTAAAGATGAGCCGCTAGAAAGATACAAATGGTTGCTTTTTTCTGGCTGGACGTGCACTACACTTTCCAATGATTTTGGCAATTACTCTGCAAAATTTAATTAGTTCATTCTCTCCTGCTTAATTTTCTGTACAAATTTAACAAATATTTGACCTTTAACCACACTTTGCCATTGCTTGGTGTTTTTCCAAAGTACATGAGCATATGTGCTTGATTTCCTTTGTTTCAAGTTAATGAGTTCATCCACCAATTTTGCTGGTCCTGTTGGGTACAAATATAGCAAAACTTACTCAAAATATTTTCTAGGCATTGTAATTAACACACACACAAACACACACACACACACACACAAACACACACACACCAAACAACAAATGCCCCTCCAAGGAAGGGGGGGGAATTAATTAGCAGGATGCAAAATATTCCCATGTGGCATTTTCCCCTTGCCTTTTAAGCCAACTATTTCATGGAAAATCTTACCACATGTACTGTGTGCATCAGAAAGTCTTTCAACAGGTTTGGTCATTGTACATTATTCATGCAGAAGCTTCTGGATTTACACCCCTTTACTCAATCCCAAAAGATTTGGTTGGCCTGCCAGGAGACCCCAAATCTCCAAGTGTTGAATTATGTCAGAAATGTAATTCCAGGCCACAGGACTGGTTACTTCCTATTTCAAAGAACTGAGATCCAAAAGAAGTTTTTCATTTTCTTTACATCTAAAGGAGGAGATGCATTTGGGAATGCGTAAGTGATCTGTGAAGGAAAGGAGAATCGAACGTGCTCCAGTTCCACCTAGGGACCAAGCAATTAGCTGATTTGGCATTTTCAACCCCAAAAAAATTGCCTTTAAAAAATGTACTCCTAGACCCAAAACAGTAAATGCAGCCATGAATATCAGAGTTGAAAGGCACAAAAGGTATAAAGGAAATAACAGTGGTGAGGATACAACCTTTGGTAAGGAGAATGAAACCAACTGTTTTAATCACAGTTCTCCACTTCTTAATATAGACCACAAATTGCTTAAGCCTGTGATCAAATTCAGCCCCTGTTCCCAGAAGGAGTACCTTGCTGGCCTAGCCCTAAGTGGCAAAACTCCTCTGGGAGGTGTAAGAAATGAGCTGAAGTTCTAATTTCTGTTCTTTCTCTAGCCTGAAGGAAATGTAACTCAGCTCATTCAGGTACATAAGGGTTAAAAAAAAAAAAGCGTGTGCTTTTTGGAAACAGCTGGAACCCATTAACAACTCTGAGACCATCTTGGTAACTCAGTTAGAGGGTGGGTGGCCTGGCAGAGCTCCTGGATCCATGCGTGTAATCACAGATTCTTAGCACTGGGAGAGGTTTTATTTCCACCTCCCACCCAATGTAGAAATCCTCTCCAACCATTCTGCTTGCAGACCTCCACCAATGGGGATTCACTGCTTCAGGAGGCAGCCCATTCCTTTAAGGACGATGCCAATTCCTAGAAAGTTCTTGGCAAAATCTGCCTCTATGGAAAGTTGACCCCTTCAGTTCTAGCTCAGCCCTCCAGTGTCACAGCACGCAACAGTCGCACTTGCTTCCAAATTCTTGCCTTTTCATGGTTGAAATGACCTGTTTCTGGGGACCATCACAACTGGGCTTATATTGCAGAGTCTCTTCTGAAGAATGGGGCCCAGGACCAGATACATTTCCATCTTAAAGGACACCAGGATTGTCTCACCTACGGGACCTTTTACTTCAGGAGTTTTTGAGGGAAAATCTTTGTGGGGAAGATGCAACCCCATCATTTTTTAGTTATTATTAATAGAGCATGTCTTCCACCTGATCCCCCAGGCAAGCTTTCAATTCCAGAAGACTTGCTTATTGCACAGCACTAGTCTGCAAGAAGCAATGAAGCCAAAGAGAGGGAGAAAAGAGTGGATGAGCTTCCCTGGATGTTCATCAGGGGAGTTCCCAGCTTTCCACAAAGTGTTGAAGCAAATGAGAAAAGATCACTCCCATAGTGGCCTGGCACCTAAGCCTAGAGAATCCTCTAGGACCAAGGTCACTTTCATCATATCTCTCCCAGTCCAAAAACCTTCCTTGATGTCCCACATCCTACACAGAACACAAGCATTTCAACCCCCTGAATCGGATGCAGCCCCACCAATCCACTGCCCTCCCACCAGGCTTACCCCAGTCATCTCCGACCTCAAGACTTAGGTTTTCTTTGTTGGCCCTTCCTGGAATAGCTTTCCTTCCTCATGTGAGATTGTCTTACAGTTTTCTCTTTCTGAGCTAACAACACAGATTCTGAAAACCCAGTACCCTCCCACTATTGACTCAAAATTACATTTCTGGTCACTAGAAGTGGGCCTTTTCCCAGAGTTCTCTTCTTAAATTAATTAATTGTCCAAATAAGCACAGGAATAAATTTTTGCTCCTAGCAGGTTGAATGCAATGGGTGGACATTGTTGTGCATTTGGTGTGAGGAATGTTCTATTCACATCTCTGCCTTCATTATTTTGGAAGGGATGCAGGGTCAGCCCAGGTTCTGACTTCTAGAAATTAAGCAAATGAACACTTACAACCTAATGGAGTCATCTCATATATAAGGTGATACAACAGTTGTAATTTTGACCTCCTTTTCTATTCCCAGCTGTGCCTCAGATAAACTGTGATGTCAAAGCTGGAAAGATAATCAATCCTGAGTTCATTGTGAAATGTCCAGCAGGATGCCAAGACCCCAAGTACCACGTTTATGGCACTGGAATCTACGCGTCTTACTCCAGTGTGTGTGGCGCCGCTGTACACAGGTGGGTGGCTCTGAGCTACTTAATAACTAGCAATCAAAGTGCTGACAGGGAGCCAATGGTGCAGAGTTGCTGAATTTAGCAAACAAAAATATACAAATTTGAGCATCCTGCATTTTATTTGGCAACTACATCCCAAAGGGAGGACCCAGACATCATATGTGGCCCTGCATCTCCTTCCACTACACTCTGAGAAAAGACAGCTCACTTCTCTTTATACCTTAATAGGGAGGGAAGAATTCTACTCTTTTAAGTTCATGACAAGGAAACCAAAGCAAACCAAAGCCATTTTTTGTTTCTACCTGTATGTGCTGGGCAAGGAAATGAGAGGGATATGGCCAAAGAATGCCCAGAGGTTTGAAGGAAAAAATGTCAGCATGCTTCTAGTGATGGCCTGGAGACAAAGAAGTGAGAAGAAGGGTGGTGGGAGGTATCACCTGGTCAAGTGTTGGTCTGAGATCCAGGAAGGAGGACAGGAAACAGGGCATGCTTTGAACTAAGTCACTTCTCAAATGAGAAGATATGCAAAGTGACCTTTCCAAAATCCTCAGACTACTTTTTCGTAAGTTTGGGGTCAACACACAGGGGAATGCATATTTTCTTAGTAATTTTGAGGATAAGGCTGGCACATATGGGCCCAGCACTTCACCTGGGCTGTCTTATTTAGTCTTCACAATTCTCCTAAGTGGTATCTACTACTATTATGCACCTCTTAAAGATGAAGACCAGTTAATAACTTTGATTAAGCCACCCTGTTTAAAGGTATGAGCTAGAGATTCAAACCCAAGTCCAGCCAGCTACAGTGCCCATGCTCCTGATGCTGTCGGCACAACTTTTGAGAGGTGACTCCCAAGTCAATGCTCAGCAACTGGATGCCGGATGAGGTCTCTGAATTCTTCAGGCTTCTGGTACCTTATTCCTTTTCTGTATTTACACATAAGCCAATGGTTTGTTCAATCATTTTCTCTGCCAGAAAGAGAAGTGACAATGTGAAATCCATTCTTTCTCATAGCATCAGTAGATGTCCTAAACTTTAGGGTAAACAGTAAGGAAAAATAAAGTTACATAAGATAAAGTTTAGGAATTACTGGTAAAATTGATCATTCATACTTCCCTTTTCCCCACTATTGCTGAGGGTTCATGAGCTAATTGGTTTTTCAATGGCAGCAGGACTATGATAACTTATTAAGTGCAAGTAGTGGAATAGTAAACAAAATGACACCAAACATTGTTTCCTAACTTCAGATTGTGAAATAAAAATTCCCTTTTGCCCCAAAGTCAATTTCATGCCAAAAATAAGTGTATACACACACATACACAAATACACATGTGCATGCCCTATGTGATTATCTGTGCCATGTGCATGCCTCCTACACATACTGATACACACACATGCTTGCTCACACACAGCTTTACGCACTCATGCAGGCCCATACAGCCCACCAACACTGTGAGCTCTCTCCTGTCTGTAGTCTGTATCGACTCTCATGTCTGTGTAGACAGTGACATCTGCTGCAGAGGCTGAGCCTGTCCCTGAGGTGGCCTGTATTTTTCCAATTGGGATCCTAGATGGTTGATGCATTGCTGACTGTGGTACCTGCTGACTCTCTCCTACCCTTCCACATTTCCTAGGAAGAACAGAGGCACAGAGTAAATTTGACCTCACCAAAGATGTCATTGTGGTTCAGTGGTAGTGCACTTGCCTAGCATGTGAGAGGTACTGGGTTTGATTCTCAGTACCACATAAAAAATAAGTAAAATAAAGGCATTACCTCCATCTATAACTAATAAATTTTTTTTAATGATAAGGAATCCAGGTGTTATGATTCTCTCCTAACTTCAATTCAGTCCTATGAGGCACTTTTAGCACTTTTAGCCAATTTTTCAAAAGAGGACATTAGTCATAGGGAAGTCAATTAAATTGCTCGTTATTTGCACACTGAAGATTAGAACTCATTTCTCCTGACTTCCAGCTCAGAGCCCAATTGACCCATTTTGATAAGAACAAGGGAGTCTCAGCATCCCTTAATGTACAAAGTGAGGACTCCAGGAGGATGTAGACTTCACAGGAGTCAGAGTTAGAAAGGCTTTATGAAGACAGGTGTACCCCTGGAAAGAAAACAGGAAGGGCATTCACTGGACCAGGGCTCTGCAGTCCCAGGGTGTGGGATGGACTAGAGGCTTGGTGGGAAGAATATAGCTGAAGGTGGAAGAAAAGAGCTTGAATGCTTCAGAAACAATATTGGCTGCTCAACCAACTGAATGCCATGTGGCTTCCTGGCACAATGGGAAAACTAGTTGGAAAGAGGTATTGCTATCCTTGGGAAGGGTAAAAAGGAAAAACTGGAATTTTGGTTGCTACTTTAGCTTTGTTTTTTACCAAAAGAGCAAGTCTGTTTTCAGGAGGTAGGATTTAAGACTGAGTCAAAAGTGCATTGGGGACCTACAGCCACTGTCCTGGTAGAATTCCCCACAGTCAGAACTGGAAGGTCGGAGAGAACATATATTGACTTAGAAATTCAGGTTAACTTGAATTCATATTGAATTCATATTTATATACTATATCAAGCTCATATGTTTTCTTATCAGTCATCTCCTTGTTTCCTTCAAACCAAGAAGATAATGGACATATTTGAGACATTGTAAGTCTTATCCTAAACTAACCCTGTATTAATGTGGAGCCGAGTRCTAGGGAAAAGAGATTTCTCTGAGATGGAGCAATGAAGAGGCCACCTCTATGCAGAATACTCTTCCCACTGATTTCTGGCCAAATGCCCACCCCTAGGACAGCAGCACTGTTCCTTCTCTCTGAACCAAGGCACTTACAATCAGCTCATCCCTAACCCCTGGTACCAGGGACAGGAAGCATGTGGACATCAACACCGTGTGCAGCCCCATGCGGAGCATCTGAGGAACACCAAGAAAAACTTGTTTTGCTCTGTCAGAGAATGGAGATACATATTTCCATACATTCTCCAAATTGCAACCTCTTTGAGCTCCCATCTGCCAACAAGTGGACCCACAGCCTTTTCCCAGCTGTCTCCCTCCTTCACTAGTATATCTTCTACATTGGTCTAGTCTCTCTGATTTTGAAATATCTGCACCCTCCAATTAGGAGGGAAGATGAGGCTTTTCTCTACCCTAACACGCAAATCTCATGAGAACCTATAGTTCTACATTTACAATTGTTCAAAAATCTGGGTTTCCGTCTTCCATAGCCCTCACAAGGGATGTCACAGCTACAGGGCTCCTGACTCTTATACAGGAGTGTGGGCACAGGCACATGGTTCCTCAAAAGAGCAGTCCTAGGTGTAATATAATATAAACCCAAGGGCAGAATGATTTCTCTGGAGAAAAAGAAAAGGGTAAGTGTTATTTCCCATTTTCCCCATTCATTATAAGTTAAAGAGAGCATGAGGTAATTTTTAAAAAAATCCTCATAATTTTCAAATTGAGCCAATAGTGTGCTGGAAAATGTTTTTAACAAACAACTTTTCAAAAAGAAGGCAAGGAGGGGAGAGGCCTGATTTTCCCTTTCCCACATATACCTCCTCCTACCACGATTGATTTCAAGCTACCAATGTCAAGTCAATCAGCTCTCAAAATCCTGAAATCATGACAATCCTCTCCCAAACACTGGTATAATTGGTGCCCAAAGGTCACAAATAGGCCTTCCTACACAAAGGTATAAAATTCTGTCCTTTCCATAAGAAATTTTCCAGTTCAATTGAGAGATAAAATTAATTCCAGAAATCTTTAGGAAGTACTTTAGGAGTTGTGAGAACAAGATTCTGAGAGGGCCGGGGGTGAAGGGCAATGGCAGGATCTGTAGAAGAAAGGAGATGCTGGGAATAGATGTACACCTGGAAAGCTGCTCAGGCCTGGTCAGGCAGACATGGAACCATATTTTCCAGGGGGAACAGCAGCATAATCAAAACCACGTTGAGTGGAAATGCGTGGTTGGCCAGGCAAATAGAGACCAGCCCGACTCCCCCGATTGTGGAGAGAGAGCAGGAAGTAAAGACTCTGAGGAGTGAGATGAAGTTATGCTCTTGAACCCTAAGAGGTAGCATGACCTCAAGGGACCAGTCCAGGACTGGAGTCAGTTAGACTTAGGAGTCCGTTAGGATTCAAATTCCTCTTGCAATTAACAACAAGACCTTGAGTGAATCAGTTACTCATARAAACAGCCTCCACTCCACAACTCAGAGGTTTTCTGGGAGGACACATGGAGATGTCATATGTGACATGATTTTAAAGTAAGTGCTTCACATGTCAAGTATTATTATCACTTTCTTTCCTTCCGGGTCATTGGGAAGTTGAGTGTTGAACGTGGTTGACTCACCACAAAGGTGGGAGGGCGGGAAATGGCAACTACCACTACCAGAGCCAGGGAAAGATATCGATAGAAACAAATCCACATACTTTCTCATGCCCTGCCTCCAGTGCCATGAAGTATGGATACCCAAAGAAGCCACATTAGCTCTTTTCAATGAGCTTTTAGCTTTTGTTGATGGCCCACTTCATCTCATCTAGGAGATGACATTGTGAAAGTGCTATTTAGGAACCAAAGTGGACCCCTTGCCTAACAGAGAAGAAGAAACAAATACATAGACRTGTCAGTCACTATCACATTAGGATTTAAAACCTGGAGAAATCTTAGAAATTAAAAGACACAATTTTGAGTCTTTGGGAAACACTTTTCTTTTTGCAGATCTGGGACTCGAACCCAGGTCTCATGTATTCTAAGCATGCATCCTTTCAATGAGCTACACTCCCAGTACTGGGGACTATTTTAATGTGTTTAATTTAGCTGCACATATTCCCTCCCTGTCCTGAAACGAAAAGAATAATTTACTTTTAATAACTCCACACTGGGTCACGGATGTCGCTCAATTATGGAGAACTTGCCTAGCATGCAAGAGGCCCAGGGTTCCATTCCCAACCATATAATTTTTAAAAAATACCTCTTCAAGGAATTAGAATTAAAGCAGAGCTCTAAAGCAACTCATACTTTGGAAGGAGCAAGTACAGAATGGGAATAAATTCTGTTAAGAAAATTAATAATTTCATACTGCCATTTGTAATGACTGGATTCTTTCCATGATATCACAAAACAAAATTGGAATTTGTCAGGAAAGAAGTTTTACCTGAAAGAACCAATGAGAAGCTGGGTATCGTGGTGCAGCCTGTAGTCTCATCTACTCAGGAGGCTAAAGTGGGAGGATCACTTGAAACTGGACAACATAGTGAAACTGTGACTCAAAACAAACAAAAAAGAAAAATAAAGAAAAAAAAAGGTAGAAAATCCATTAGGAATGAGAAATCCAGGGAAAAAAGAAATTTGAGGCATGGTGACCAATTCCTGACTGACAGATGGGGTTCTATAAGAAGGAAGAGGACACTGAACCTGGCAGGTTAGGTACCAGGCTAGGTTGATGGAGGCACCCTTATTGGGGCTTGGCTGCAGGTCAGGGTAAACTTTTCCTTAACCTCACTGCTTTTGTATGTCTACATAAAGATGGAGACTGGCTTGCATGTTTGGGGATGTCAAAGAGCATTTCTGTACTTTCTTCAATTTTTTTTTTTCTTTTCATAGTGGTGTGCTCGATAATTCAGGAGGAAAAATACTTGTTCAGAAAGTGGCAGGACAGTCCGGTTACAAAGGGAGTTTCTCCAATGGTGTTCAGTCCTTATCCCTACCAAGATGGAGAGAATCCTTCATCGTCTCAGGTATGGCCACATGCCGGAGAAACACTGCTAACAGTAGGCATTTGGGATGACCTCCCAGGGTGAAGTTTGCTCTTTTCAATGAGCTTTTAGCTTTTGTTGATGGCCCACTTCATCTCATAAAAATCCAAAGTACTACTTCTTCCAAGATCATGAAACGATGAATTATAATTACACGATAAATCACTACAAAGTCAAATCTGGAACTATTAAGAGCCTCAAATTGCTCATTTTAAACACATTGCTGCTATCTATAAGTACAATCAAACTTTTAATAAAGTGGATTGCATTAATAATTTATATTTTTAAACTAGTCTTTTTTTTAGGCTAATATGCCCCATATCTGGGCATTTATCTTTTACGATTTCTGGTAAATGAACAAATGGGAGCATGTGCTTAGAAAAAAAAACTGAGCCACAACTTTAGTTTCAATTTTTTAAATTTGTGTTTAAAAAATTGTTTTATTATTCAATCAGTTCTCCCTATCTAGAGCCACAGGATTTTTATAGATACTCATTTTCACTCTTCTCTCTTTCAAAAAGTTAATAACAATGATCTATAATGACCACTGTAGTGCAATTTCCCAGTGAAAGCTAACCTAGTATTCTTGGTGCTATCATGACCTGCCTTCCCACCTTTTTCTATTTTTGTGAATTTCCCCAAATCAAGCCTTTATTCTGAAAACATTCACATTAACAGAAAATTTTAAAGAGTACAATGAGTACCCATATTTCTTTCACCCAAATTCATGAATTGCTAATATTTTACCACATTTGTTCTGTCTGCCAATCTATCTATCATCTATGGATACTTTTTTCTGAACCATGTGAACAAAAGTTGCCGGCAACATGACACTTTATCCCTAAATACTTCAGTACACATCTTGTAGGAATCGTTTTCCAAAATGACAATGATACCAATACTGCAACCAGAATATAAACTTGAAATAACAATAGCATCTAATAAAAAGTTCTTATTCAAGTATCTCCAAAATATTCTTTATTATAATTTATTTTTTATTCGGATCCACAATCTGATCGAAAGTTATGCATTGCATTTGGTTGTCATGTTCAGTTAGTATCTTTAATCACCCACCACACTACCTCTTTGGTCATGAATGACATTGACATCTATGAAATCCAGGTCAGTTGTCTAGCATGTCCTATAATCTGGATGAAAAACACTTCCAACTGCTTCCTCATGATTGAATTCAGGTTAAATATTTTGAAAAGGATAGGTCATATGGCATATCCATGGGGTCATACCACATTGGCCATATCAAGAGGCACATAGTGTTGACTTATCTAATTATTGGTGATAGTAAATTTGATTAGTTGGCTACATTCCATTTCTCTCCAGACAAATATACTCATAATTAGTAAACAATCTATAGAGTGATACTTTAAAAYCACTTGGCTAACTGATTCCCAAATWAATTTAACTTGGTAGTTTTAATAGCCAGTGCTCATCCTTRCTGTAGTAAGAATTATATTAGTACAGTAGTCTCTCAGTATCATGGGGACTGATTCCAGGATCCCCTGTGGATGCCAAAATCTGCAGGATGCTCAATCCCTTACATAAAATGGTATTCTATTTGCATATAACCTACACACATCCTCTCATATACTTTTTGTCATCCCTAGATTACTTATATAATACCTAATACAGTGTAAATGCCTTGTAAATAGTTATATATATATNATATATATTGTTTAAGGAATAATGACAAGAAAAAAGTATATACATGTTCATCACAGACATAATTCTTTTTCTAAGTATTTTCAATCTGAGGTTAGTTGAATCCACAGAATCAGGAATCCAGGGAAACAACTGTAATTGCAAAATCATAATTTTTCCTAATTCTGTCATCCTTCCACATTTATTAGCTAGTATTCTTATATAAAGAGGAGTTTTCTTCCTTCCCCCAACCTGTGCATTTTTTTWAAATGTGGACTATGGACTGGTGAATTGCTTTTTTAAATACAGTATATTATTATCACTGTCCTGATTGGTGCTCACGTTTTATGAGATTGGCCAGCAGGGGCCCCTCAGGCTTTGGACATATTCCCCATCAACGTTTGAGCACAACACAGTCTCCGATGTCGACTTAAACCTCCACTGTTTAGGACCTGAATCTCCCATTTTCTCTAAGACAGTTCAGCAGGATCTTAAACTAGATTCTAGCAAATCTCCCTGGAACTGTCATGGGACCTTCCTGAGTAGGAGCCACCTATGAAGAGGCACCTGAAGCAGAGAAATGTCTCCTAACATACTAGGTCTTCCAGCCTGGGTGGTTCTCTAGCATTGTTAGGCATCCTGTGCCCTAAACCCGACTACCCTCCAACTGTCAAGGTTGTAATACAACTAAAAACAGACCTTTGAGGATTCTTCTCAAATTGAACAATCCCTGTTCCCTGTTGCCTGCCAGGTTCTATATAACTTGGGTTCAAATTGGATAGGTTTTTTTATCAGATAGTGGAAGGGCATCAACTGCAATATTGCGTGTCTTTGCCTCATAACAGAACTCAGAGCAGACCATCTGAAAATGCTACTGTCTAGAATACAAATATGTTGAAACAGAAAGAAATATAATCTCCGCATAGGTGTTTCCAAGTAACCCCTGGCTAAATAAGAGCATTTCAACCTTAAGGGGCTCAGCTTGCAACTCAAGATTCCCACCAGAGGCTTAAAAGAAAAAAATTAATTCCATGAGAGTAAGAGATGTTTTAGGTTTTTAAAATGAAAATCAATCTGCTGAGATTATTCCCTATAAATTTCAACTTCCATCTCCCCTCATTCCTCCTAGTGACATTTAACCGAAAGTACTTTTCGCCAACGACAATAAACATCTGTGCTTCTGCGGTGGCTAGGAAGCCTCTCGAATGGATGAGTTACGGAGTGCACTGCGGCAGAAGGCTGCAGCCAAGGAACGCCCYGTTATTCAGAGGTTCATGGCCAACGAGTTTAACTGGATCATGTCAGAATCCTTATGACCTTTCTCTAGGTTTTTATTTCTAATTTTTACAGGTCACTGTGCTCCTATAATTAATTTGCTTTGAGAAACCGGGTTTGAGGGGCATGAGCATTTTTGGTCAGCATGATCTTTGGATAGTCCTGGGATTCTAAAAGTCAGTGAAGGACCCCCAATTGTTTTTGATCCACATTTCAGAAAACTCAGCTCACGCTCTTTTTCCTTCTGAATAGAAACAGAAACATTAGGTTTTGTTGGTGAGAAGAATAATGAATGCAGGGAGATGATGTGTCTGATCACTTTCTGTTAATAAAAATGTGGCCCACAGCCTGTGGGGCCCTTATGGGTTCTGAAATGGCCCCAATTAGTATCTATTGGGAGCATACTTGGACCCAGGTGGAGAACTTGGAAATGCCACATTGTACTCCCCAGGTGATTTTAATGAGATGAAGTGACTACAGCCAATAACCCCAAATGTATTGCCTCATCTTGCCTTTTAGTGGCACTTATAGGTTACACCAGAATGAGTTTTTGCATCTTTATAGATATGTACATGATATATATATTTTTCAATATACATTAAATATACTGTTTTAGTCAACTTTTTCATCTCTGTGACCAAAAGACTTGATGAGAACAACACAGAGGAGGGAAAGTCTATTTGAGGCTCATGGTTTCAGAGGTCCCAGTCCATAGATGGCTGACTCCATAGCTCTGGGCCCAAAGTGAGGCAGAACAACATGGTAGAAGGGTATGACGGAGAATAGCAACTCAGAACATGGAAAACAGGAAAGAGCTCTCCTCACCAGGGACAAACTGTAAACCTCAAAGGCATGCCACCAGTGACCTGCATCCTCCAGCCACACCTACCTGCCTACAGGTGATTCACTAGTTAATCCATAACAGAGGATTAATTCACCAATTAGGTTAAAGCTCTTAGGACCCAATCATTTCACCTCTGAAAATTCTTGCATTGTCTCACCCATGAGCTTTTTTTTTTTTTCTTACAGCTTTGTGTTGTTAAGTAGTGGCCATACCATTACTCATATTTTCTGAATGTAAAAACAAGAGTCTTGGAAGCTGCTACAGCTTAATTAAAGGAAAACTGAAACAGAAGCCTAGAGCCTAGATTTTCTTTCTGACTCCCAGGCCCAGGCACTTCCTAAGACCCTACAATCTCTTGAGCCAATAGGATATTTGGCAAGATTTAGTCCCACCCGCCAGGATTTTTGTGCCTTACCATGTCTTCTACAACCTTCATCCTCTAATAAAAGAATTCCCTCAGGAATAATGCATCCATTATTCCATGTAAATAACGGATCACAATGGACACCCACCTCCTGGGGTGTATGAATCCTCACAGAGGCCTGGGCGTCATTCCTCAGCCTCAGGAATAAGGACTCCGGGAGCCCTGACATGCCAGACACTGCCTGAGGCCCTGGGAATTCAAGAGCTACCAACTCAGACAAATTATTTGCCTTTGGGGGGCTTACTGCATTCCACCAGCACTCTCAGTTTAATTGCAGAACAAAGCTCCCTTGGAATTTCAGGTAGCTCCTCTTCGTGGTCAGAAGACTTTTGCAGGAAGCAGCCTTCTCAGGCAGTTTGCATCCTGCCAAGCTTAGTGCTGCTTACCCTGTCGATCACCTAATGTCTTTTCCTTTTTATGCTTCCATTGTTTCCCTGTTAGACAGTACCATCCACACCCTCTCTGGGCATCTAAAGTCTCTCCCTGGGTGGCAACACTTGGTTATTTTCAAGGCTGATGTATATTTACCTACTTTCAGTTTTCTCTACCACCATAAAGTATGAATGGATCAGCGCAGTCTGAGAATGAGAGATGGCCATGCACGTATACCCTGTGGGGGACCCGAGAGCCCTTGCACCTGGGAGGAGAGAATGTGCAGCATTTCATGTCCATCTGCTGTCATAATTAAGCATTCAAAGCCACATGCATGAAACCTTAACTTACAGGTCACATCATCATGAGTGAAATAAGGGTTGCTACTGCTAAACGACTGAGTTATGGAGATTTTATTGCTTCCGTTCTAACATTAATAAAACACAGGGCATACAAGAAAACAAAATGCCACTTGGCTTTCTTATTGTAATCAACAAGTCAGTACAAAGGAGACTGCTTTTATTGAACTCGAGATAAATTGGAAGGAGGAAATCAACTTACCGGTATAGAATCATCTAAAATCTCCAGCTCTAGAAATAAATCTTTTTTTTTTTTTTTTTGCAGAAAGTAAACCCCAAAAGGGTGTAACCTACCCATCAACTCTTACGTATTCATCATCCAAAAGCCCAGATGCCAAAGCAGGCAAGTGTTCGTTTGTGATTTAATCTAAACTTTCTGAGTTCGTAAACATAAGCAATATTGTGTTTTAGGAGATGGTGTCGAAATTAACATCTTAACTGGTCATGCCACACTGACTCTGGTGATATTTTACCCGATGCCAGAAGCATGGCACGGACATCAATGGGAGCAGACATCTGGGACTGAGGAGTGAAGGCTTAATTTTTTTTGTTTTCACAATTTGAGATTGTCCCTGCGTTTGTGCCATTTTCATTTGGAGTGACTGCTGCCTTGAATTTCACTGCATTGCTGCTTTAGAAGATGACATGACATTCTGCCTGGAAATGTTCCCTGGCAACTAAAAGGAGAAAAGCCAGATTTACTTAGTATGAAATGAAGGGAGGAAGCAAAGAGAACGAGGCGGCTTCTGTGATAACAGCGAGCAGCTAATCTGAACAACCCCAGCCAAAATACATTGTCTACAGGACTGTGCCCACCCGGCTTCCATGGGAACAGCAAGACAAGGACAGGTAGACCTCAGGCCAAGGAATTCCTCTGTCCGTATTTCAGTGTTTAATCAAGAACTCATGTGCACGATCATGGTCTGGGACCTGCCTTCTGGTGGGATTTGGTGTTTGCTCCCAGCAGCTTACAGGATGAGCTGATGTAGCTGAGGTTCTAGTCACGGATGTGGAGTGAACAGGTTTAAGAATGGCAGTGGAAGCTAGCATCTACTGAGCACTGGCTGTATGCCAGACACTGTTCCAAGACCTTTACCTGATTGTTGCCTTTAATCAACCCCAGACTACCATCTGCATGTACTATTCTTAGCCCTAATGTACAGTTTGAGAAAAATGCAGCACAGAGATGTTAAGAGATCTCCTTTTGCCAAACAGCTAGAAAGTAGCAGAGATGAGAGTTCAACCCAGACAGTCTGGCTCCAAAAACTCCTCCCTAAATCACTATCCTAGACTTTTCTTATTTTAATACCAGTGCATACAGAAACTCTCAATTTGACCAGCATTGACATACAAATAGGAATTTGTTGTTGTCTTCCTAGTTACTATATCTTTGTATCATCTATATCTTTAATGATGGTGGTGATCTAGATGTGGTTAGTTATAAGGATACAGCTCTTCTCCACCCCAATCTACAAGCTGCCAGTCTGATGGACCATTTCTGAGATATCACCTGTCCTTTTTGAGTGTGGACACAGGGAAGAGGAACCGATGACAGAGACATCCTTAAGAGGTGTGTCCTGTTGTCTTCCCTAGCCCAGCAACTTCTATTCACAAAGTGATTTCTGAGTAGTTGAACTGTGTGGGGCACAGGGGTACTGTCCATCTGTCCTAGACCTTCTCATTGGGCCCCCACCCCTTCTTCCTACCCCTGGCAATCCACACTTGTACACAGCAGTGAAATAAGGGTTGCTATTTCTGGGCGGCCCCTAAATATGAGCTCTGGGAATTGTAGGGTTCCCTTTGGTCCCCTTTGAGGTCTGAGAACTGTGGGATAGAGTGAGGTCACCTTCCTCTTCTTCACATTTAAGGACTGCTGGCCTAGGATACTCCAGGTGCCCTCTCGTCCCCTTCTTGGAGAGCCTAGAGCAGAGTGAATCCCCATGTTCAAGTAAGCCCCTAACCTCAGGAGCCACAGGTCAAGCACTTCCTCTTTTTACCCCAAAAGGGTAGAGTATTTCTAGACTCCCAAGGCTGCTTCTGCAGCACATAAGCTGGGCCTGTGCTGCTGAGCCTCAGGGAGAGGGCAGGAAGTGAGATGTCCGGCTCCCTTCCCTGCACATTGATGAGTGACTCTTGCGGCACCTTCTTCTGTCATAGGGAGGACAAAACATGAAGGAAGGGAGGGAATATTCTCTTGCCCTGAATACTGCACTCCCCATAACCTGGCTACTGAGCCCTCCCCCTTCTGGACCTTTCCTTCTGCTCACTGGGGTAGAGAGAGGAGGGGTTGGTGATGGCACAGATGGTACTGCAATGGCCCAGCGTAGGGGAAGTTCAGGGACACATCTTCTCATTTAGGAAGGGGTCATTCCTCCCTTCTGGCTCAATTCTAAACAATGGGAAGGGTCTCACACAACCTCTATGACAACAGCCATGAACTGAGTACTTTCTCTAGTGCCACCTACGGTGCAATAACCCCGAAACAGAGTACCAGTGTCTTCCGTTTCTTCAGATAAGGAAACTGGTCCTTAGAGAGGTTCAGTAACTTGCCCAAGGCATTGTCCTAACTGGCCCATACTCTGATTGTATCACCTGGTAACAGGTAAAGTTGTAGAGGGAGAGAGAGGAATTATAACCAAGGGATGCCTGGTGTTATAGAATGCATTTGATTTCTATGTTCATAGCAGAGATCATTTCCAAAACTTTTCCCTCTACCCCAGCACTGTGGCCAAGCTTAACACCATCCACTCCCAGCAAGTGTTTGTTCCCCATATCTGTTGTTAACATTCCGGAGAAGTGCAGGTGGGCCTGGGTACTCATTTTGAAATTGGCTGCTATGTAAATTCATAAACTGGCAAAAGCCACAGTTAAAACAGGCATTGCTTTGTCACTTGTCCCTTTACCAAGCCATTTCAACTTTCTGTAACAGTTTCACCAAGTATTACTATCAGCTCCTTATCACTAGATGACTAGTCTCAAGATTTACGTTCATCCCTTCATTCATTCACACAGTAACCACATATTAAGCACCTGCAGTGTGCCAGACCCTGAGCTAAATAATAAGCATTTCAACCTAAAAGGGAGGCTTGGGGTCCTGCCTGGTTTCAAGATAGAGGGACCTCAGGCTTTAAAAAAAAAAATCTCATGCCCACCATGGAGTAGGTTTTTACCAATTCAAATCAAAAATTCCAGTGAGAATCACTAAAGAGTGCCCCTCGTGTTGCTGCTTTGCCTTAAACGATTAAATTCCTTTAGAATCTGGCTGAAGCAGAAGGGATGGAGACCATTCAGGACCCAGCATGCCCACATAAAATGCTTCCTTGCCTCTCCAAGAATGTGAGTTAACAGGTAAATCAGGTTAGGACGACCCCCAAAAGCATAACAACCTTCTTCTGCGGAAAATTATCTCACTCGAAAAATAGAAGGCATCTTGATTTGCCTGGTGCAGCTCATGCTGAGGACAGACAGTACCTGAGATTTACATGCTGTTCCCCCAGGCAGTTAGAAGCATCCGGTGGGCAACTGTTATTTGGCTAGAGCTTCCATGTACTCTGAGCTAAATAAAATCAGGTAAGTGTTCATTTGTAGAAATTTACAAAAAAAAAAAAAAAAAAAAATGAAAAGCACATTCCTGGTACCATAGCAAGAAAAGCGAAAGTAAATCTTTATTTGAAGCTACTGAGCAAGACAGCCAGAAACCGCCCCACCCCCACCCCCTGCCCAGCTCCTCTGGCCAAATGCTAAGGCCCTCACCTGGAAGAAAGCCAAACTGAAGGTTATTGCAGTAAGTTTGACTTTCTAGGAACCTCTGCCCTCACTGCCCAAACCTACCCACTAAGGCCACTCCTCACCCTCTCATAGAAGACAATAGCTTTGTGAGATCTCAAAGGGCTCTGGGTCACCTCTAATGAAAACCATGTCTAGGGATCCTAAACCCTCCCAAGACTTGCCTCCCACTTTCTCCCCCTTCTATGGAAAAAGGAGGCAGGGAGGAGGCATCGACTTGGAATCAAATACATAGAGTCCAAATCTTGGCTCTGCTACCTATGTGTCCATGTGAGCCTAAATACATTTCTTGACCTCTTGGAAAACTTGTTCCTTATCTCAAAAATAGGAAGACTTCAGTCAACTTCCTGGATCATGATAAATATTAAATGTGTATGTTTGTGTAAAAGAGGACTTTGAAATGTGGCGCATGGTAGGTGCTCAATGAATATTGCATTTCCTGCCCTCATATCTAACCCTGAGGCATGGGATGAGTTAGTGATAGGAAGAACCAAATCTTCCCCCAGCACTCTTATCTCCAGACATTGCTGCTAAACCAGCTACCGGCTTCAGGCTTCTGACCTCTGTCTCCTTCACTTCACCTTATATCTGACCCCTAGTGAGAACACTGTTTTCCACCAGCAGAGAGGGAGACTTAGTATGGGGATAAATGTCAGCTGCTGCCACTTATGGAATGTCTGCCATGTGTCAAGCATGGTGTGCATGTGCCCCCGATAGACTTGACCTCTAATTATGACAACAACCTTCCCAGGTAGGTATGACCATGCCCATGGTACAACAAAAGGAACCAGGCTCAGAAAGCTCTAGTGGCAGGGCTGGTAGGGAGAGCCCAGAGTGGAGCCTGGCCCTGGCTATGATTCCCAAATCAGAATCCCCGGCCCACCTCAGATTCAGTGAGTTGACATCTCTGTGAGCGGCTCCCTAAAGTCTGCCTTCCTAACACCTCCACGGTGACTCTGCTGAGGGGCCAGGTGTAGGAAGGAGCTCTCTGGGGCTGTTCTTGATTATGTCCAAAAGAATAGAGAGTCTAAGGGAAGTTTTGAAAAGCTTTCCCATGAACATCTTTGAAACTCTGAAGAGAGACCAAGTATCTGATATTATGTGGAAAGAAAAAAAACTATTTTATGGGTTTTACTTCAAATTTCTCAAAAAGAATCTGGTTCCATGAAGAATTCCCTTTGGACCAGATTAAGCGCTGTGTTCGTAAGGCTGGGGCAGGGAAAGTGACTCTCTCTGTCTTCCTCTTAAAGCCATTTCAGATCTGTGAAGGGGAGCAGGCAGAAACAGCTCATGGAAGACCGGAGAGATGGCCACGTGGGTTGAATTTACAAAATGTTTGACAGCACCTGCGTCCTAAGTGCAGCAATGGCTCTCCCCAGGATATTTTCTCTCTAGCAAACCATTATGAGCACACCAATAAGGATAGGGTATTCTTAAGCCTTGGAATTAGCCAATGGTGTACCCAAAAAAAGAGATAATTTTTGTTTTTAATATGCAATAACTTAAAATGTTCACTATTTGCTAGTTGAAGTTTCATATTTAGTATACTGTAGATTAATTAAGTTTTTTAGTACCATCAGCTTATTTACATGTTTCTCTTCAAATTAATTCTTATATCCTATTTCCTAAAGTGTACAAGCAATTCTGTTATATGGCTTTTCCCTGGATGAAGGTTAAACCCGGGCCAGCATCTCCCTAAAGAGGCATCAATGCCTGTTAGCATTTTCCTGAGTGTAAGACAGGGGAATGTTCCGGAAAAAATAAACACTTCCCTAGACTTGTTCTGGAAGCTCAGACCCTTTAAGGTAATGGAAATGTCATAAATCAGGCAGGTTTGGTCCTGCTTGAGAATGGCCTGAAGACTGGAAGGCAAGCTGACCCCCCAAGGTGGCCTCCAACTCTTTAGTGACTTGTCTGGCACAATCTACAGACAGATTCAAAGGAGACCAACTATTAGCAACCATCAAGGTGAATGAGGGATTTGCTTCCTGCCTTGACTGGCTAATGCCTGACAGAGTGGACTGAATGGCTGAATTCCAGGTTCACTCTTTGCTGACTGCCCTTCCTGGTCAGAGCTGGGATTCTCAAGAAAGTGACAGTGTCAGGGTGGAGAAAGGAGCAGGTGCTGGTGCCTGGCAATGCATCTGAACACCCACCACAAGTTTGTCCACAGGACTATGGTTCTGACACCACTTTCCCAGGATGCTGTGCAATCTACAATGCTGAACAACAGTGAAGAGTGAGTGAGATGGTTCCCACCAAGAGGGACATTTCTGACATTTCCATTACCTTGTCTGCCTGACTTATGACATTTCCTTTACTCTTGTCTCAGATGCAACCCCCCTTGGCCTACTGTTCCATGTACCAAAAAAGTGCCTCATCCCTAAGCAGAGTGAAGGCTGGAGCCAGGATACTGTGGCAGGACAAAATATGCTCCCCATTCCCCAAAGACCCTCGTCCTGACCACTGTGAATATTTTCTCATATGTTGTAATGTGATTGAGGATCTTGAGATGGGGAAATTACCCTGAAATACCTGGGTAGGCCCTAAAAGCCATCATATGCACACTTGTCAAGGGGAGGCAGAGGGAGATAATTCCATACCCATAAAGGAGAAGGTTATGTGAAGATGAGGCTGAGAAATAATTGAGGCTGCTAGGCTTGAAGAGGACAAAAGCCAAGGAAGGCCAGCCACCAGGTGCAGCAGGACAAGGCAGGAAACACATTGAATCCTCTACCATCCCGGAGGGAGCTCAGCACTGCAGATGCCTTGAATTTGGCCCACTGATACTGATTTTGGACTTCTGGCCTCCAGAACTTTGAGAGAATAAATTTGGTTTTGTCAGCCACCAAGTTTGAGATGTTTTCTTACAGCAGTCCTAAGATACCAGAGATAGAAATACAGAAGCTGGCATACCCCTCTGGGGCCCACAGGGACACACAACTGTACCAGGACTGAGGTGCTATTGACCTTGCAGGGCATCTCCTTCTAGGATCTCAAGATAGTCCCCAGTATTCAATGGGTAGCCACTTTTCCTCTTCCTCTGAACCTTCAGAGATCCCCTCAGGGCAACCAGATCACTAATGAATTGAGACTTGCTATATGGCAGAGCTTCAAATTGTGGAAGCATTCCAAGTCATCACATGTGAATGAAGAGCACAGTTTAGAAGACGAATCTAGATGCTCCTTTACCATGGAGTCAGTTCATTACCCGTTTTTATAGACCAGGAAACTGGGGCCCAGAGGAGTTAGTTAACTGGTAATGAACCAACTTAAACTAGAACAGCTAGAATGCAATCTGTAAGAGTAAGTCATAGAGTACACAAACCCTCTTCATGGTGCCTGGCAAATTAATTTGGCAAACGAATCATGTTCTGCAATGTCTATGTTGCTATAGTGTTTAACTGTCAGTTAAGTTTATTGTTGTTATTTGGTCTTTGGTTTGTTGGTTGGCCTATTGCTCTGAGATTGAACATTCCTGTAAGCAGGAATTGCAGGCTGTTTGTCTAGATTTCCCCCTGCACAGCAGCCAGCACAGGTCTCTGCTCATAGCGAGTGTTCAGTGAATGTTTATTTGATTTCTAGTCCTCCAAGAGCCTATAGACTCTTGCAGGCCCTGGTATATAATTCCATTTCCTTACAGGCGAGACCACAAAAGCCTATCAAAGGCCATCTGCTCCAGGGACAACTGCACAGCCAGTCACCCTGATGCAGATTCTGGCTATGCCAGCAGCTGAGGTCACCCACGCCACCTTGCCAAAGCCATTCCCATTTGCAACCTCTGCCACCAGCAGCCCCAGACCTCAGCCTGTGGGCCACGGGAGCTGGGAGATGGGTGAGTAGGTGAACCATGTGTTGCTGTGTACTAGAAGAGTAGGATTTGGGGGTCTTCAGAATAACAGCTCTTTCTGAACATTGATATGTAGGGCTTAGCCCCCACCTCTTCAGCCAGGCGAGTGGGGAACAGCTGAGACCTGCACCAGGAGTTGGTATGTGGTTCTGTCTTCCGTAATCAAACTAGGACTACTTTTACAGTGCTTTCAAAGGTAGGATATTACATGAAACTGGCCTATTATAAAAACCCTAGTTTCTCCAAAAGCTCTTTTGAAGGAATCCTAAGTTTCTATGTAACTATCGTTGAGTTATGAGGCTGGCCTTGAACTTGCCATCTTCCTGCCTCAGTCTCTCTAGTTGCTGAGGATATAGGCATGCACTATTGCACCTGGCTGGGTTTTGGTAGTTTTAAGAGGCAAATGGTTTATAGCTGGAAGTCTTCAAATAATGGGGGGGGGGGGAACACCTTGAGGAAGAGTCAAATAGTTGAAATTTTTTGTTCCTGTCCTAATTTCTTTTTATCTGACCACTTTTATCTGTTGCTTAAATCATGTTTTAGATTTTATCAAAGAGCAGCATCACATCAACAGGGCCTTAAAACTCATCTGATAATCCAATCTCAAGTTTCTACATAGGCTTACATCAGCACTGCTAATAGGTACCTGTCTCATCTCAAAGAGTTTCTGGCGGGGTGGGGGCATTCCACAGCTGGAATTCTATTGTCCTGAGAATTTTTTTTTTCTGAGTATTTCCCACCAATGCCACTTTTTCCTTCTAGGAAGAAATCCCCAAAACTTGTTATTTTCAGCCTGACCTCTAGCTTCCAATCATGACTGCCGTGTAGCCTGGCCCTTCTCTGTTCCCTGGCAGACCCCCGTCTCTATCCATCTTTTTATTTAACACAAGGTGAATCAACACTTTCAAAGTGCTGGGCACTTTTCCAAACAACTTACAGAATAATCTATGGAATCCTTAGCAACCTGTAAAGTAAATATATTACTTCTTAATTGAAGTATTAACTGTATTAATGAGGAAATCGAGGAATAGGGTAGTTAGGAAACTGGCCCCAAGTCACAGGGCAAAAAATAGCGAAGCAGGAATTCAAAGTCCAGCAGCCTGGGTCCTCTCTGATTCCCCTTGCTGGAGGGAGGCATCCCAAACACCCGGGCCCAGACAAAGCACACCTGGACGTGATGGGATGTCCAGATTAGAGAGTGCTAGACCTGCCCAACTTCTTCTGCAACTAATAAATGGCAGGATGCACACTGTCCATACATTCCAGGGGCCAGGCACACTGCAGACATTGTTTTAGTCTTCTCAACAACTCTATGAAACAGGGATTATTATTATTCTATTTTATAGAAGACGAGTGGAAAAAAGCTGTGATATAAAGTTTCCAGATCAGAATATCATAAAAATAATTTTTGAAGTTTTGAAATATACCAGACAACACCTACCCATCATCTTATTGTGACTTAATTCAGGCAACAAAAGCAAAAAAAGAGAAATAGGAAGGACACCAGGTGACCCAAGGCTAACAGAGGTCCCATAGCCAGTTTTTCTTTTTATAATTTCAGGCTCTTGACTTTAGAGTCCTTAATGCTTTCAAAAATGTCTGGGTATCTGAATAAGTTGCTCCTGTGCCTCTCAGAGGAGGTCAATTCTTACATAACACATATAATTAAACATGTGGCATATTTACTTGGCAACACTGGGAACAAGTTGGGCTGGGCTTGTGGAAAATCTCAAGAAACTTGAAGTAGTGGCTCCCAGCCTGGCAAAGCTTCATTATTCCTGGCTTGGGACAGGAGCATTGGACATCGGCCTCCTAGCCCATCAATGTTCCTTCTCTGAACTTGCCCAGCACCCCTTTCATGCTGACTACACACTGCTGGAAGAATCCTCAGAGCAAGCATGTGTGCATCATGCACCATGATGGTCAATTTGTATAGCTCACTCAAAGAGTGTTCTGTAAGCATAAAAAGTAGTAAAAAAAAAAAAAAAAAAGGTGTTCAATGGGTGCTTTCAATGACTGCTTTATTGAGATACTGTTCTCATACCATAATTTTCTCACTCATTTTCAGTGTATATTTTTATAGAGTGTGTGATCATCACTACAGTCAATTCTAGAACATTCTCACATTCTCATCATCCCCCCAAAAAACCCCACACCCATGAACAGTCACTCACCATTTCCCCTAAACCACTCCCCCCAGCCCCAGGTAACTACCACTCTACTTTCATGAATGTATGGCAGTTCATATTTGCTGTGATACTGTAGCCCAACTATATCAAATATTTAGTATTTAGATAACTCCCTTTTTTGCTTCAAATGAGTTGAAAATATTTTGCCAATGATAAGAAATTTCATCAAGCTTCTGAGAGTGAGTTGCTGTTATTGTATCCATTAAGGGATTTTTTTTCTTATATATATAAGTGTGTGTGTGTGTAGTCAAAAGGTTCTAAAAATGGTTGTGGATGGAGCACTCAAGCAAATTCTTGTTTACTTATTCACTTAAGAAATATTTATTGGGGCTGGGGTTGTGGCTCAGCCGTATAGCACTCACCTAGCACATGCGAGGCACTGGGTTTGATCCTCAGCACCACACAAAAATAAATAAATTAAATAAAGGAGTGTGTATGTGTGTGTGTGTGTGTGTGTGTGTGTGTGTGTGTGTGTGTGTGTATGAAAAAAAGAAATATTTATTGAGCAAGGCATGGCGACACATGACTAATCTCAGTGATTCAAGAGTCTGAGGCAGAAGGATCACAAGTTCCAGGCCAGCCTCAGCAACTTAGCAAGACACTGTCTGAAAATTATAAAAAAACATAAAAAGGGCTGGGGATGTAGCTCAGTGAGTGCCCCTGGGGTTAATCCCTAGTACCTCAAAAAAAAAAAAAGAGAGAGAGACAAAAGCAGCCTCTAATCAAGATGTGTAAACTTAGAAGGAGGCTGGTGGAGAGTAGAAACTTGGAAGCAGATGGACAGAGGCTCTCCTAGCCCAAGAAGAGAAGACTGAGACTCAAAAAGTCAAAGGTCATATGTTTTCTCTTGTATGTGGCAGCTAGAGTGAAAAATGGGAAAAGGCTTGGGGGCATCTCATGAAAATAGAAGGAAGGCAACAGAGGAAAGGAAGGGCATCGTGGGCAGGGAGGAGGAGAGGGGAAGGGGAGGTATCGGGGAATGAAACCAACCAAATTATGTTCTGTGCATGTACAGATACATCACAGGGAATCCCACTCTTATGTGTAATTATAATGCACCAATTTTTAAAAAATTTAAAGGTGAGGCTGGACACATTGCAGCCACTTCACTGACCCATGAATATGCAAACCAAACAAGAGAGAAAAGAGTAAGGGAGCCAAGAGCCAGGGTGACAGAGACTTCTTACAGGGGCAGAACTGAGGCTGTTCCTTCTGGGAGAGATCAAGGATGGAACTGGTATCCCTGGGAGCCAAACAGCCACCATGCTGCATCCCAGAGCCAGAGGGAGCAGCCTAAAAAGCAGATCCAAAGTTATGCTTAGGAAAGAGTTCTGGGAAATATAGAAAGTCCCTCCAGGCCCCGCTGAAGGGTCAGGTGAACACTTGACAGGCTTAGAAGGTGGAGTGGCTGCCCTCTAAGTACTGTTTTTCCATTTCAAGACCTGCGTGCCTAGGTTGCCTCAGCTGATCTAGCCAGTCTATCCCAACCACCAATATACCAGAAAGGGGAGGAAGAGTGCAGCCTAGTGGCAAAGCACTGCAATGGCATGACCCTTTGCTCCACCCTCTGGACAAGGGCAACCAAGAAGAGCAAACCAGGAAACTGGGAAAGGGAGAGCCTAGTCCTTCCACCTACTATTTCCCTTCTCACCGACATTTCTCTCACCTGTGAAATTTATTTTCCCCAAAGTGCCTGGAGAAGGTTTTTCTTAAAATCCAGTCTTTCAAAAGTAAGGGGGGGGGGGGAACAAAAATAAGCATTTCAAAAGAAAAATGGGGAAAGGTCATGGCCAGGCAAGCTTCAGTAGAACTGCAAATGGCTCTTAAATGTATTTTTTAAAAGATGTTCAACCTTCACTAAGAACCAAATGAGTGCAAATTAAACAGCAAAACGCCACTCTTCCCTCAATTTGCACTACAAACTGATAATCCACAGCTTGCTGCAGAGTGTGGAGAAATGACCCCGTAGTCACACTTCCAAAAATATGATATCCTAAGGTAATTATTAGCCAAGGGTGAAAAGAATCATGGACACAGATGTTGTTCATAATAGAAAAATAAATGGAGATGATTTAATTATCCATCATTAGAAGATCGGTTAAAGTTACCACACAGCTGTGAAAATGTTGCTGCAAATGTGCGCATACCGACATGAGAAGTCTGCTCTATCCAGAATGTTCAGTCAAGGAAGCAGGAGACAAGGCAACGTGGGGGTCCCTCTCCCATTCTTGTAAATGTGTGTTGGAGGTGAGAATGAAGGCAGAGAAAAAAAACTCTACATACCAAAATTGTATGTCAGAAACTGCTGGAGAGAGAATAAAAGAGGATTTCTTACTATGCATAGTACATAATTTTTTTTACAACAAGCCTGTCTTATCTTTATGATTAGAAAACAAAACAAAACTACTTTGACTTCATGTCAAATCACTGGAACAAAAACAAACAAAAAAGAGTCAAATTTTTGACTGTGGATAGATCCAGTTCTAAGAGAAATTGATATTTTTCCCCGACCTCTTCTATCTTTCTGTCTATAAAACATGGTTGTTTCCCTCTGCGGGCTCTTACGTGGCCTCCTTTTCCACAACAGGGACTTTGCATTTCTCTTTATAGAATCCTTCATCTCCCTACTCCCTTTTAAAATCTTGCTTCAGAGAAACTGCCCAATAAATAATGAGTGTTGAAGTAGATTTGATTCTCTCATGGAGTAATTAAGGATAACCATTGTGTACCTCTAAAAATGACTGAAAGCTAATGCTATTTGCATCAATACCATGTTAATGCAGTTTAGGCAAATTGCTAAATGTTAAGTGACATTTCTATTGAAGGATTACTTTAACCTCCCCACAAGTGGCACAGTCGAGAATTATTTTAAGAATAAAGGATAAAGAAATATGGCACTTTAGTAAAAGAAACTTACTTTGACAATTGTGAAATACAAGGGTTATTAGTACCTGGAATTTCCAGTCAGTGTTTTGAGCTAATCTATTTTCTTCTTCTTCTTCTTTCCCCCGCCCCCCATTTCAATGTCTCCTGCAGGGCAGGTTCAGACCGCCCAAGGAGCCCAAGGAGCCCAAGGACAAAGCTTTTCCTTGGTCCTTACCTTGTAATGTCTTGCTAGGCTGGCTCATGGAAAGAATGAGAACAGTTAAATTAAAATTCATGCTCTGACCAGTCCAATGTGATTACAGATCTCTGGCCACCCCCACCCCCCCTTACACACACACACACACACACACACACACACACGCACGCACGCACGCGCAGACAAAACAGTCATGGGGCCAAGCCAGGTAGGAACCTGAGCTGTCTTTCTAGCTGCTTCTTTACAGGGGGTTCTTCATTTCCAAATCCTCGCCTTTTCATTTAGAGTGGGACAGGGTATTGAACCAAATGGCCCACTAGAAGATATTGTAGGGAAAGTGAGGATGTTGTTAAATAAACAAGGCCTTTCGCCAGTCTCCTTCCCTTGAGGTGATTTCATGCAGGGTATTTTAGAAAACCCTAAGGATCCCTAACCAGGGCTCTTACAAAACCTGGAACGGGATACTTTATGGGCTTCATGCTTGAGGAACTCTGTTAAAATGGTAAGACAAGGGCAGAGCCAGTTGTGCTTGGTACTTCTCTAATACAGGGATAGATGGGGCTGGGGGTGTAACTCAGTGGTACAGCATTGGCCTGGGACGTGCAAGGCCCTGGATTCAATGCGGGGAGCGAATAAAGGGACAGAAACACATTCTCTCTACTTCAGGAATTTCCCTCTGAATCGTGACCCCTAGGCTCACCTCTCTTTGCTTCTGGGAGTTCTTTAGTGGTTCAACCCTAGAACTGGGAATGCAGCAAATTCTCTTCTCTGCAACACTGGAGAGGACTGCACAGATTCAGAAAGGAAAGAGCAGGATCACAGACTCTGCTCAGGACCTGTGCTAGGCACTGAGGTCACAGGGCAGTAGGATCAGAATCCAAGCCTACAATAGAGAAGAGTTCAGTCTTCTTCCTCTGGGGATAGTCATCTGCTCTCCACATGGTAATAGAGTCCTATAAATTGTAGGTTCTGTTTTGTTTTGATATAAAATGTGAACAGGGGCTCCCTGGCTTCCCTGGGAAGGGCTAGCAACATTCATGGACTTCACAATGGTGTGCTTAAACAGGCTTAGGAATCAGAACACTAGCCAGGGCAAGATCTCCAAGACCATCTGAAACCTCAACAGGCCCATGGGACAGTTTGGAAGACCAAGCCAGGGCATTTTCTTCTCTTGTCTCCTTGACCAGGATTTCTGCTTCCTCTGCAACAACCCAAAGTGAACCTACCACAGAGCATTTGGCAGATTGCAAAGAAAATCTGAACTAGGGTCACTTTCATTAGGGGGCAAAATAAGGGAAGAAAGCAGTTGCTGGCTGCACGTAAAAATCAGCTGACCCTGTGGTCAATCCCCTCAGGTACCCCAAAACAGGATTCTCCAGGAGCTGCCTTCCAGGAACCCATGGGAGCAGATGTCGGCCTCGGTGAGCCTCCCGCTGCCTACCATACCCCCCACCCTCTAGAAACTTGCTCTGCAATATTTGCACATATGGATCTCCCACACTCATTCTTGGCATCTGCAGCTCAACTCCAGGTCGCCAGAGTTTGGGGACATGCCAAGTTATTTTCCTTGAAAAAAATGTCTGCTTTGTCCGTTCTGGGCACATCATACAGCACATCTCTACCAACCCAGAAGCCCAAGGTCTCTTATTGTCTTATGTCCCCTTGCCAGGTTCCCCACCTAAGCAGCCTCTGTACTCCCTGGCACATCCCCAGGCTGGGCTCTGGAATAAAACACAAATACGCAGACACACCACGTCAATCAGTGTGTCTGCGTAGGTAGTGGCCACAAACACAACCTCCATCTCCCATTTCTAACTCACAACCTTTAGGAGGTTTCAAGGCTGTATTCTGCCAAACATATTTGACTCCACTCCCTTTTTTCCAATTTTCTCATCCTCGCTTTGTTTCACCTGAGTCTGCTTCTTCTCCAATCTTCTTCATGCTCCCAGTAATTACACCCAGACTCCTTGACCCACTCGAGGTTCTTAGTTCCCTTTTTACCCTCCAGTCCTTCCCATTTCCCATGTTCCCCGCCTCCTCACCATCATCCCTACATATTTTCTCTGAGCATCTGACTCTCCCATGAATTCCTAGCAGGAAGGTGCTAAGACTTAAACTAGTCATGAAAACCCTTATTCTTATTCTTAACTAATTAGTTAATTAGTTAACTAATTAGTCCATCATTCCTAATTTGTCTAAACCAGTGGTTCTCAGACTGTGCTACAAGGACCCTACTTTCAGGGATTCTGTGGGGTCCTCCTTTTGACTACATCCGCATGAGGACAGATCTCCTTCATATACTTCAACAACAACAGTATATCACGACAGATTGCAGATGTTGATATCAGATTCCAGCTGTCTTCTATTATGACATACCTTGAAGAAAGTAGCCATTCATTTCATTGAATGCTTCTGTTTTGGAAAACAGCCTCTTTTTTCCATAAAAAAATGAGATTTATGATAAAATGTAAAATGTTATTTTTAATGAATTAATAGTTAAATACATTGTTAGTCGATACTTTATTTCAAATGAGAGAAGTCACAGTTTTAATTTCTAAATAATAAAAATCAATACATATAGCCCACAAAAAGGGGGATCTTCAATAATTTCTAAGAGGATAGAGAGGCTGAAACTGAGAATCTCTCAAATTTGAGAGCCTTTCAAATACATAAAACTAGACTTTATGTCTTCCTTTATGTCTCATCTTTTCCAGAAAAAAAATTTCTCCATTCCCTCCAACAGGCCCTTACATGACTTGGCAGAACATGCTTTAACCATGCTATAGCCTGCAAATGATTCGTGAAACAGGGCACCCAGAGCAAAGCACAATGTTTGTGTGCCCAAGAACTGCTCTCCCCCTAAAACATCTCAGGATCCACTTGGGGGGAGCTCTGTCTCATCCTTGCTTATCTTTTTCTGAGCATGCAATTAATAAAGTCCTTAGGATTTTCTGTCTTCTTCTTTAGAAGCAGATGACCCCAAACTCATCTTCGTACAATTGATTTTGTGAACTCAAGTTGGACTATCACACGTGATACCCTGCACTGGCCTGGAAACCTAACCATGGAATTAATGTTGCTGCCATGAGAAAAGGTTACCAGGTCCCCAATAAACATCCCACACTGAGTCTTAGAGAGTAATTCACTTAAAAACCAAGGACTATTGATGCTTTGCTGGTGTAAGGGCTTGATCCAGAACCTCACACTGTCCCCAGTCTTCTCTGAAAGTCCCTGTGCAGTGGGCTGCTGGTGTGGCAATGCCTTGGGCACAGCTGTAGGGCTCTGCTCTCTCATGCTTCCCATGTCAGTGCAGTGAGAGGAAGTTTTTCAAGGGAAAGGTGCAGACCTCAGGACAGGAAGCCAGGGGAGGGAAGAAAGGCCTGAAGGTCCTCTCCCTCAAGAAGCCTCCTGTCCTTCAGATTTCTACCTTCTTCTCAAAACTGTACCCTAGCTGGGAACAGTGCTGTGTGCTTGCAATCCCAGTGACTCGGGAGGCAGAGGAAGGAAGATCAAAGCTAGCTTCAGCAACCTAGCAAGGCCCTGAGCAACTTAGTGAGATCCTATGTCAAAATCAAAAAGGGCTGATGTGGCCCGGTGCTTGAGCACCCCTTAGTTCAATCCTTAGTACCAAAAAAAACTTTTTTTAAATAATAAAAACCATACCCCAGGGGACCCAGTGGGGAAGAATGTGGAAGTTGAAGGGCCACCAGGGCTTGTCTCATAAAAGCCCTAAGGGCCATGTGTTGTAACTCCCACTTGGGTCCTGTTCTGGTGACTTCCAGATGTGCAGAGGAACAGAAGGAACTAAAACCAGTACAAAGTTCATTGCTAGGTTCTGAGGACCAGGGTTGGCTCCAGGCCCTTTTGAAGACTTAATCACATTAGTGGGAGCTACAAGTGGCTGTGGCAGGCCTAGCTCTTCAGTGGTCTAACCGAGTACCCCGAGATGCTGAAGCTAATGACTCCTCCTCATCTGTGATTAACAGGTGGTGGTTAAATGCAAGCCCTCAGCTGCTCACCCCTCAGCTCTGCCTTTCCCTGAGCATCAGTGCCCTCTCCCATAAGACAGGGATCTTAGCTGTACCTAACTCATAGGGTCATCGTGATCTAACACTTATTCAGTGTGTGTGCCTCCCACTGAGCAAGCTCTGGATAAATGTTAGTGGTTTCTGCATTTTTACCGTGGAAATTGCTCAGAATCAACACTTTTCTTAGATTTGAATATGTCATGGTATGGCCAAGTGAGGATTGTCACAAAAATAATTCCCTGGGTTTTCTTTCTTTCTTTTTTTAAAGAAAGAGAGGAGAGAGAGAGAGAATTTTTTTAATTTTTTTTTTTTTTTTTTTAGTTTTCGGCAGACACAGCATCTTTGTTTGTATGTGGTGCTGAGGATCGAACCTGGGCCAGCCGCATGCATGCCAGGCTACCACGCTACCGCTTGAGCCACATCCCCAGCCCCTCTTTTTTTTTTTTAAAGAGGGACTTATACTTTTATGCTTTTTAGAGTGATTTTATGCTCATTGATGTCCTCTGAGTCTCCTCCATGGGAGATAGGAAAAGACGGGTCTTTATGACCTCAGGAAAAAATCACAGGTGAACTGTAGAGGTGGGGTGAACCAGGCCCAGCCTGGGATTGGCAGATCCTGGATGGGTCTTCTGACTTCTCTTTTCCCATACCACCCTGTTCCTCCTTGATGCCAGAACTCAAATGTTCCCACAAATTTACTTGTTATTACTACCAAGTCCAAAAATCACCAAGTCTCAGCTGTCCAAATATTTTTTAGCCCTCAGCTTTTAGATGAAGGTGACTTGGTTCAAACTTGTCCCAAACAAGACAAAAGTAGCACTAATGGAAGGACAGTTTTCCAGAAGAAGTAGGAGACTTGGAAATCCCTGATGTCAGGGTTTTTTTTAACCTCCTGATAAAATATTAGAGCACCCAGAACTATAAATTCTAATCTTCATGACATTTAAAGAAAGGGGGCTTGAGAAAAGACAGAGGCTACCAGCACCAATTTTTAGGAAAAGAGCAGTGTATCTCTTCACCAGTAGGTGGCAATAGAGTAATAAAGCTAAAGAAGCAAGAGTGTTTAAATCATAAATATTTTGAACGTGGAGACCATCTCGTCCACCCTGCTAATGTTATTTACTAAGAAATTAAGGTCCACAACAGAGGGTACATGACTTGCTCAAGGCCACATACCTGGGTAACGACTGAGTCCAGTTAAACAGGTCTCACCATGAAACTAGAATGTGCAAAACAAATTGCCCTTCAGAATTGCCCGGCATCTTAATCACATACTGAAAAAAGATTTTGAGTGTGTTAATGACTTCAGCCAGATGCAAAGTGAATAGGCTTTAAGAAATGAAGCACTTGGTCATGCGCTCAGCCTTCTAAGAGAGGAAAGGAGGCAGAGCTGGGGCCGGGGGACAGCAATCTTTGGGTTCTTATGAGGTTCCCTGACATGTTTGTGTTGCCTCTGAGCCTCTCTCAACAACAATCCCCCCAATGGATCAAGGGTTATTTGGTAAGAATCGCCCCCTCCCCTCTACCCTTTCTGCGTCATCAGCAGATGGTGGTGAAAGACAGTGAACATCTTGTCCCAGGTAGAATCCAGGTGCCAAGTTGCTTTATTCCGCTTAAGGCACACAATAAAGAGCTGAAACTCAAAAAACTAGTGAACTAACTGCCTGCTCCCTGAAGGGCCTGATTAGCTCTGTGTAGTTCTAAGGAAGAGAATTCAAACAGGTGGGACAGATGTACTTAAAATATTAAGCACATACTGAGTGCTTAATAAGTGTGGGGTGGGGTGGATGGATGAATTGATAGATGGAAAAAGATTCAAGTCAAAAGGTTTCAGATTGCTACAATGAAATTTTTTCTCACAGTCTCAATAATCCAAGAAAGAATAAACATAAATCCTACTTTTATTGGCTATATCATGAGTTTCCTGTCTCTGGAGATATTAAAGCACCAACCAGCCAGTTACTTGGTAGGGATGTTGTAGGAGCAGGCTGAGAGGGTGCTCTGGACTAGATGAGCTTCTAAGGTCCTTTATAATCCTAGGATTCCTGTACCATTGTTCTTGGTGTCCAATAAAAGAAAATAAATAAATAGACGGTGATGTTTATGTCTTTGGCTTTCGGAGCTTTAAATGAGATAATCACACACACATTTTCCTTCATCAAAAATTCTGGTGCCACGCTCCTTCACTCATCTTTCTGCCACGATTGGGGAACATCACCCCGGCCGTTCACTTGAGTGTTTTTGCTGGGTTGGTTTAAATAACAAGTTTGTTTCTTTTTAATTTTGAAAATCAGGAGAAATGGACTTGTGGAAGCCTGGATCAGTCCTTTTAGATGCAGGTAATTATACAGACCATCCTCTCTGCATGGCTGAATGGAGACACAGGATTACAGACCAGGAGGGTCTAGTAGTCCAGCTGGTGGCAGGAGAAGCCCATTGATCCAGAGCAGCCTTTGTAATGGCCTCCACCTGGGCATTGAGGTCCTGTGGAGGACACTGAAACCTCAACTAGGRAGGCCTGGAGTAAGAGGCTAAGAAAAGAAAGGAAATACGAAGACAAAAAGCCAGAAGGGAATTGGTTCCCCACTCCAAAATGCATTCAGACCCTCATTCCCTCCCGATCACACCTTGTCAGGTTTCCCCTCACCTGAGTGGGTCTTGTTGTTTACTGCATTGAATGTTTGAAACTCCCGCAAACAGAGCCTTCCAGCTCTTGGTAGAAAGGAAGATGTTACTGATAGAATCCAATGGAGAGGACTCCATCCCTGAACTTGTTTTTCTCCCCCTCCCTACCAAGTAGAGCCTTGGGGTGTTTCCCCAGAGGTTTTTTCTGGCAGAGAAACGCTGTTAAACACCCAAGGAGAAAATTTTAAATGATGTGAAGAAGTAGGGTGGGCTAGCTGACCTTTAATGGGAAAATGAAATCATGTGCTTCGCCAACTGGAAAAAAKAACAAGCCAGGAGGGCCAGGAGAAAGCACACTGCAGCGAAGAGCAAGGGCAGAGACCAGCACCTTCCTCACRGGGCTTCCAGGCATCCTGGAAACAGGGAGACCCACTTCTGATGCTGCGCATTTGCTCTGCCTGGGAAACTCATTGGTCTCACCAAGCTTGAGAGAATTCCCATTTATTGCCTTTATTTCCTTGAATGGAATACTTATGAATTTGGCTCCAAGTAAATGGCTCTGAAAAACCACCCCCACCTCTGCCAGGGTGAAACTCACCTCACATGCAGCCTCTCCAAGCAAGAACATGTTTGTGTCTGTAYCTCCAAGCTTTTGGGTGGAGAGGATGCATCCTGCACACTCTCATTTGATTTTTTCTGAGCTCTTCCCCTCTAGTCTATATCCAACCAYCTTTAGATTGCCCTCGTGTGTCTTACTCATCTTTTTTTTTTTTGCCTCAATCACTACATGTTGATATAAGCCAGACACATTTCCTCAAGACCTCAAGATGTTCAGAATTTTACAGAAGGGTCATTTGTACTTGCAAAGTGCTTAATGCTTTCAGATAAGGAAACTAAGACTCAAATAGAATAAGTTAAGATAAGGAAACTAAGACTCAAATAGAATAAGTTAAAATAAGAGTAGATCTCAAGTCTCCTGATTTCAATCCTCCGCCCCACCCCCCAACAGAGTACTATCTTTAGTAGACTATCGGTAAATATTAATTTACTCTTATTTTTCTCAGAATGGGGCGGGGGCGGTAGTGTAGAGAAGAATGAGCCAAGCCCCTGAGCTGAGCATGAATATCCACTCTGTCCCTGTCTCTGGCATCAGGCCAGATGTTTCCTGTGCTGGTAAGTCACCAAAAGTTTTACTGTTCTTTCCAGGATTTATTCCAAAAGAAGAATTAAGCACACAGTCTTCGGAGCCAGTATCCCAGGGAGATCCAAGTAAGTTAATTGACAAMTAGCAACCCATGACAGTTTTGACATTTGATCTGTTCTCTCTCTTCTCTACCTACTCACTCCCACCCAAACTTGCCTTTCTCCTACCATGGWTCTATTTATCTCCTCTCTTCTGTCACTTTGTTCTAAGAAGAAAAGGAAACTTTTGAAAGAGTTAAACAACTGTGTGCACCAGGGGGAGAGGATCCAGTTTTTTAAATATTGCTATGGTAACAAGGTAAAGAATAGCAAGGAATTGGGGAGACAAGGATGAATAAGTGGAATGGACAGGCAGATCAGCAGGGGCAGTGGTATCATGGAGGTGATGGCAGCTGGCTTGGAATTGKGAGTGGTGATGGTGAGAAATGGGCAGATTCAAGAGATGTAGAAAAGGAAGAATCTATAGGGTTGGGGTGGAAAAAGAGAGAGGGAACAGTTAAAAATGATCTGAATAACTAGGTAAATGGCATTGCAATGAGGAACACAGGATGGAGCAGGTTTGGAAGCTGGGAGATCATTTGTCTCTCCTCTGATTGTCCATGAGACACTCAGCCTAAGAGATGATTACTCAGATCCAATATTTGACTGGAACAGCCCAGTCAGATATTAAGAGTTGGGGTTAGAGCAAGTCTGGCAACTGGGTAAGATCCTCTGGTGATCATGTTCTCATGGACACACCAAGTTGAACAGCTACACACACACCAAACTGCTTTCACAAGAGCTAAGGAACCCAGGTTACCACTTAGTACTCTGACCTTTTTTCTCAAAGAATAATCCTCCTCCTACTCCTCCTCCTCCTCATCATCATGAATGTTAAATAGTTATTAAGATTCGTGAGAATAAACAAAAGAAATTTAGARTTGGAAGATAAAGAAATACGGTTCAAAACAGAAAATGTGACCAAAGGAGATAAGGAAGAAATAGAGGACTTGAACTTGAAGAACTGCATTAGGTAGAGAAGACACTGGAAAATACCAGGAAGGAGGGACCAGAGAAAGAGAAGAAAACCGGAAAGGTGTAATATCTTGAAAGTTACCAAAAGAAAGCACTTGCAGATTCCTCTAAAAAATCTCTACCAGTCAGCCACCAGTGGCCTGTGAATCTGTTCTGCTGCATGTGAGAACCACCAGAAAATATTTTTTAAATTAGAGATCCTGCTTTCTAAAGCCTCACCTACTATGTCAGACTCTCCATATACCTTGCTATTCATTGTGGAGTCTGGGGACCAGCARCATTGGCATCTCTCAGGAGCTTATAGCAAATGTATAATCTGAGGCTCCACCTCAGACCTACTGATTCTACAAGTGATACCTGCAAGTGATCTCTTTGCACATTAAGCCTTGAGAAGCACTACCCAGAGTAAGTCCTGGGCATCATCATTTATGGAAGCAGCATAAGCAACTCTGACACATACATGACTCTGATAAGTATCCAGGGTTAAGAAACTCTGGCCTGATATATTGGACAATACAAAGCATTAATCTATGGAATTGTACCATGCAGAATTGGACCACAACAATTTTTAAAAATCATTAAAAAATAATTGATTCCTGTAGACATTATATTTTACCTTTTTTTTTCACGTCCTCCAAACTCTGTTCTCTGTGATCATAAAAATTCATTCACACTGAACATTCCATAGCCCAGTTCTACCCATCAGTCATCTTCAGATCAGCATGGTTTCATGGCAATATGAGAAAGCCAGCAGGTCTTAACCAGCATTTGCCATAAGTTGGAGCCATTGTCATTAAAACATCTTGGAAAAGGGAAGCAACCTTTCCCAAGCATCAACCCTGTATCCACCCTCAGGCCAGGGAAGTAGAGAACTAAGCAAATAGAGAAATATGTCACTTCCATAACACCTAGCTATGAAATGACTGTGTCATCCTGTACATAGCTCAAGATGTAAAGAAATAAGAAGGGAAAATTATCATGTACTTTCTTCTTTTAAAATAAATGGAAGAAATTCCCCTTTAGCCCTTATTCTCACTGTTGTTTTATTTTAAAAGGCATATTGAACTAATCTGCTGACATTGGAAGAAAAATCCATGTTAAGGAGTGTTTCTCAAACTTTACTGTGTCCATGAATCACTTGGGGATCTTATTAAAATGCAGATCTGATTCTGTAGATTTGAATGGAGTGTCCGAAGGTCCACATTTCTAACCAACCCTCCGTGTTGGTGGGCGGCAAGCCCTGAAGAACACCACTGCCACCTTCTGGCAATAATTTACATTGCAAGGTTTACCTAGGAAAGCGAGTTGGCCCTGTTGGAGGAACAACCACACGAGAAGCCACACAGCAGTACTACTTCTCTTTATCCCAGGATTTAGTGATATCTTTAAATTTTACATCCGACTTTATTTACTTCTTGCCCATGTTCTCTACTCCATATGCTGCTGTGGGACTGCAATCACGCACATCTGAGGGAGATGCAGGCTTGCGTGGGCGACTGATCCCCACCCACAAGGACAGTATGAGTCTCCATGTTCTCTTGGATATTCCAGCCCAGAAATTCCTTTCTCTCTCTCTTTTTTTTCTTTATATGGAACTCTGTTTTGAAATATTTTCGTCTCCCAAACTGCAATTGTTTAATAATTCATTCTTCATTTTTTTAAAATCATAGGGATATACAGCTCCCAATAAGAACCTCTGGTCAGTGTTGAATAATCAACTTTATCAAACTGAGATGATAATGGAGAGTTTAAAAAAAAAACCACTAATTTCTGATATCCTGTGTGGCTTTTCACTGATTCCTATAGCATTAGAAAAGTTGAAAATAGCTTACAACCCCACCATTGCCTCTACCTGTATCAGAAYTTCTGTCTATGCAGTAGTGCCCCCCTGTTGCCATCATTTCACTTTCTATGATTTCAGCTACCCACAGTCAACCATGGCCCAAAGTATTAAATGGAAAATTCCAGAAATAAGCAATTCATGAGGTTTTTGTTTGTTTGTTTGGTACTGGGGATTGAACTCAGGGCCTTGTGCATGCAAGGCAAGCACTCTACCCCCTAAAGTAAATTTTAGCACAGCCTATTGTTATAGCTTTTCTGTTTTATTCTTACAAATCTCWTACTGTGCCTAATTTATAAATTTAACCATAGCATAGGTATGTGCATATAGGGGGAAATGCAGTATATATAAGTATCAGTGCTATCTGTGGTTTCAGGCATCTTCTTGAAGTCTTGAAACATGCCCCATGTAGACAAGGAAGGACCACTGTATCTGCAGAGGTCCAGAAATCCTAAGCCAGGACAACTACCCTCGTCTTTTCACAATTAAAGGAAAAAAATACATAATCACAAACAAGTGCTGATATTATAGATAGATGTGGATAATTCCTTTGGTTACTTCATCTGGGGAAGCAGATTAGTATCTACTTCTTATCCTGCAGTTCCTACTCTCTGCTTAGCACTGGGCTTGCAGGTTCTTTCACACTCTTATAAAGACCTGACACATATTTCAAAAAAGTTAAGATGAAAGTAAAAGGCCACAAGTTTTTCAGACTCAGTTTTGGTGAATTCCCATGTCTGAGAGTCTGCACTTCTATGATCTGAGCCTGGGAATCCACTCTGATGGTTTTCCCAAGCTAGATAGGGGTATCACTAGCTGATCCAGAGAGTTCTAAAACAGTTATGGAAACAGGTGTGAGCACATGTATCCAGGACCTGRTGTTCAGGGCAATTGTCAGGAGATAGAGAAATGAGTACATCTGCACCACTACCTCTTTTCCACTCTCTTCTCCTTGAAATCCCATGGGCTAGCAGAGAAAGAAAGGAACACAAACCCCAGGTAGATACAATGGGAGAGAACCAGAATAATAGAGTCTTTTTTCATTCCTCAGACTGCAAAGTAGACTTGTCATTTTTAATTGATGGGAGCTCCGGCATTGGAAAACGTCGATTCCAAATCCAGAAGCAATTCCTGGCTGACATCGCCCAGGCCCTTGACATTGGCCCTGCTGGTCCTCTGATGGGTGTGGTTCAGTATGGGTAAGTGCAGTGAATGTTCTGAATCCAGAGGCCAAGTGATGCTGCATGCTTACGTCACCAGTGCCAACATGTCAGAGCATAGATTTGTCCTCTTCCCTAATGCAAGTGTAAATGAAGCCTTTGGTATGCCATTTAAGAAATCTTAGCTTTCCTGAAGGGAAGGAGAGGCTAATAAATGTTTGTGAGTAAATAGCATTTGGACTCATGATTCATAGAATATTTATTTGGAAAAGGAGAGCTCAGTACACGTCTCAGCCTCTAACAAACTCATGTGGCCTTTGGCTAGCCTTTGCCTCTCTGTTCTTCTGTAGATGAGGAAAGTTAAGTCTTCTTTTAACCTTAACAATTGGAAATTTGTTTGAGGGGCTGCACCCTGAGCTAAGACCTAGAGGGCAGGTGCTTCAGGTTGCACTTTCTCTTTTCTCCATATCACCCTGGGGCTCTGCACTGATACCAGAAAAGCTCACCAGGCAATGGGGAAGGACAAGAGTGGAGAGCTATGGCCCCATCACTCAACTGATCATGGAGGTGACTGTCCCCAATCTGCTTTATTATTTTACTTAGAAATTAAGGAGTCATATTATCATTCCAAACTCAACCTTCTTTTCAGTTGTTTAGGATAATAAATGAATCTTAATTTAAATATGAAGAGGTTTCTCCCTAAAACAGATACACAGATATTGACAGATCATGAACAATCAAGGGAGAGAACATGCGTAAATCCAAGATTCACATTTCAAATAGGCAGTCATTTGATGAGCAGTTGTTGAGAGCAAGATAATTATCCTGCCTTCCACAAAGGACCTGCRTGGTGACCTTCCCCCTACTCCCACCCCCACACCTGGATCTGCAGTTTAGCCCTTGGAAGTGGAAACTAACAAAGGCTTTGATGCTTCTTGCCCCAAAGCTCTAGCCACAGCTTCTTCACGCCTGAAAAGTAAAAGCTTCCATACCTCACAGCACCCAAAGGGACCCCAGACCCTTCAGAGGTTTCTGGAAAACATTTTAAATGAAGATGTGTATCAAAGACATTAGGATATTTATTTTCAGGCTATCAAGAAAAATAAACAAAGTGCTTTAAAAGAAAAACTACAAGGTTTATATTTTTAGAATTAAATTTCAATAGCACATTTAGTTCTATCTTCTGTTCCTATCAGGAAAAATTAGTTAACTGGCATTAATATGTAGTCAGTTATCTAAAAATAACTAATTGCTGCAAATGCCACTTCTTGATGTCAAATGATCTATCTTGAGGCTCTTGACTTGAAATAAGAAAAGAAGGGTTTGGGGGAAGGGTATTTTTGTTGTTGATGTTATTTTCTTGTTTTCAAAATGCCATACTATTTTCATTCCAGTATTATGTTTTAAGATAAAAAAAAAATAGATATCAGGCTTTTCCACAGGGAGATAATGTAAGTATTTTAACAACAGATGTCCCTAGTCAATTCTTCTTGGGAGGTTCAAAGCTTCATGTGTTATCTTGCATTAAAAATTGTTGCTTTAAAAGCTTGTATATCCCAAGATTTATAGTATGGTATGAAAATAAGGTGCTGAATATGTCAAGGAAAAGAAAAATAGCGTAAGGAGAATGTTGTGTGCAAATGAGAATGTGAATTAAAAAGCAAACATGGCAGAGAAGGAAAACCAGAAGTTTCCTTCTCCTCTGCTGTGATTTGATTGTGCCCCCAGTTCATGCGTGGGAAACTTAATCCCCAATGCAGCAGCACTAGGAGGTGTGACTTTTAAGAGGTAAATAGGAATGGATTAATGCATTATCCACAGAACCAATTAATTATCAAAAGGGTGGGTTTGTTACAGAAGCAAGTTTGTTGGGTCCCCCCTTACTCTTGCCCTTGCTCTCTTGAACTGTCTTACCCTTCCGCCTTCCACCATGGGATGATACAGCACAAAGGCTCTAGCCAGATGTGGGCTTGTCAAGTTTGGACTTCTCAGCCTCCAGAACTGTAGGAACTTTTCTTAATAAATTACCTAGCCTGTAGTATTCCATATAGCAACTCAAAGACTAAGACATCCCCCCTAAATTTTCTTCTGCTTTTCCTAACACAATTACCATTTGCAAGAAAGAATTGACTTTCTTGCTTTCCAGTTTCACTTGTTAAACATTCCTTGCTATCTGCATATGTTTTCCATCCAGGGTCCTTATTAATTTAAAGCACATAAGGGAAATGTGTGTGTTTTCCTCCCTTTCACCCTCACATGAACTAATCCATCATCTTCACCTTGCCTTGGCAATGGTAAGGAGAAGAAAGCACCATGAACTGCTGACGGGAGACCTGGGTTCTGGCCTTGGCTCTGTTGTGTGACCCTAAGCGAGTCACTTAACCTCTCCATGTAAATGCCGCTGCCTCTAAGTCCAGCAGTCAGGAGATGATTTATTAGAGCTCTACCGGTTCTGGCTTCCTGCAATTCAGCAACTGGCTTTGTATGCAGAAGACATCCAGCAAATGAATGTTGGGCTGGTGAGCTGCTTCCTCCTTCCTTCCAGTCTTGGGGTCCCGATGAAGCAGGATGATCCATGATGAGACGGTGGAGTTGTGCTGAGGTTACACATCCAACTGTGCAATGTGAGACACTAAGTAGATCAGAGGGCAGCCCATGAGGCTGAAGATGAGGCTGAAGGGAAGACGTGTTTATCCAGCTGAAATCGCTTTTGATTTCAGGTGCCCGTCTTTCTCACGTAGGCAGCTCCCTTAAYCCTTTTTTCATGAAATGTGTTCGTACGTGTAGAAGAAGGGAGTGGAGCAGGAAAGGGTTAGAGGCAGGTGTGGAACTGGGGTCTGTGTTCCTCAAAAAGGAAAAGCTTGGCTGGTTGGGAATCTGATTCCTCTCATGGTCTTTTGGGTTCTCACAAGATTCTATTGTCCTCCTGGGAGGTTTCTCCAAACAGAGCCAATAGAATATTATAGTTATAAAGAGGGAATTTAATAGATGAGTACCATCAGAGGCAGAATAGCCCTCACAGGGGCCATCTGTGGGCTGGGGAGACAGGGCAACCAGTAGCTGCTCAGTCCAAGAATCTGCAAACCTCAGAACATGAAAGCAGGGGTATGTGGGATGATGTCAGTCATGCAGCCCCTGTCTGAGGCCAAAGGCCTGAGAGCTCCTGGAAGAGTTGCTGACAAGAGTCCACATTGAAAGGCTAAAGAATCAGGAGTCTGATGTCCATGGGCAACAGCAGCAGCAGCAAAAAAAAAAAAAAAAATAGTGCCTGCTCAAGATGGGTCAAGTGTGCACATTCACTCTTCTCCCTTCTGCTTTTTCATTACATCTGGACCACCAGCCTCTGGGATGGTGCTGCCTAGGTTCAGGGTGGGTCTTCCCCACTCAGTTTGCTGGCCCACATCATGCCTAGAGACACCCTCATAGACAAATCCAGAAGTGTGTTCAATCCAGTCAAGTGGTCAACCAAAATCAACCACCACAACCTCTTCACTCCAACTTGGAATCACCCCCATGTCTTGAAGTCACAAAGCCTGGAGGTCTCAGAGAACTCCTGGTTTTGCCTCTTCATGTGATGATGAGGACATGAGGCCCTACAAAAAAGGGACCACCCATTGAGGACAAGCACTTGAAAGATGATGAAGTTGACAGGGACCTGAGCAGAGCCTGGTAACTCGGAATTTCTCTCTTCTCAGGCTTTTCCCAGCCAATACCACTAGTGCTGCTCCACTCAGCTCCCTAGAGGCCTCCTTCCCTTCCTCTGTCTTAGGAGAGCTTAGTCAGAATTCAGACTTAAATTCTGAATTCCAAAGACTTAAATTTAGAATTTAAAAGGCTCATACTAAACATTAACAGGAAACAAAAATTAAATAAGAAATACAATCCAAGATGTATAAAAATGCAAACACATCCCGATTCCTCAGATACCCTACTTAAAGATCCCTTGGGTGCAAGGAACAGAAAACCACTCTAGGCAACCAAGGTGCACGGAGATTTATGGTGAAGAACATTCAGAGGTCTGACAAGTCCCTGATCATTCCATCCCTCCTCTCCAGACATCTCACTGGGCTCTCTGCTTGTCCATTCCATTCCTTCTTTCGCAGACCAGCATCCTCTGCCCGGCTCTTGCTTTCTCTTCCTCCAATACTCCACCTTGTACTGGCTGACTTCCTACCTCTGGTCCAGGCCCAGGGAGGGTCTAACCACTATGGCGCTAGAATACTCCTTCTCCTGTATTCCCCACTTGCAGAGGCTCATAACTTACCATTGCATCAACCTGTCAGCACCCAAAGCCTTTCCACTAAAATTATCACCCACCTCCAGTGAGAGAGGCAGGAAGCATATGATATACACTTAGAGATGATGTTCCCAAGAACACCAGCTAAATACACCACCATGGGAAGAGTGCAAATGTCAATCCTGGGTTAATCCCCAAAATGTCAAACAAAATTGACTTCAGAGGGAAGATGTTGCTCATTTGCCAGGAAAGTTTCTGATAATTGATGCTTTTCACCATACTGAGACACTGGGCTTGAACAGCAAGCCAAGGATCAAATCCCTGTCTTGCATGTACATTCAAAGTTAAAATTATACAACCAACAGGCTTGCAATTTCAATACCAACAGGAAAGCGAAAAGGCTAAGTAAAAGAACAGCCAGACCAAGTAGCTATTAGGTGAACTCTAGCAACCAGAACGAATGCAGCCACACAGCTTGTGCTTTAGCTATAGCCTAGATCCACAGATGCTAAATGTCCTCTAGACTTTTGATGTGCTTTCACTTAGGCTCCAATTTCAATATAAATGGAAGAGAATTGTACATGTTCTTTTGAATTTCATTACCAAACCTCGGATGTCAAAATCGGAAAACAGCTTTGGAAAAAAGCAAAATGTTGGTTTTTCTTCATTTAAAAATGAAGTTGAATTCTTTGCTCATGGGTCTAGAACAGTTGCCATCTGTTTTAGTGAGTATCTCTGACTTGGGCTGCACATGTCTTCTCACTTCTCAGCAACCCCAGCCTCAGACTGAAAACTCACAGCC